CTCGTGTTCCCTCTCCCGCTGTCTCTCTCTGTCAAATAAATAAATAAAATCTTAAAAAAAAAAAAAAAGAAAAGACAAGACAGGAGATGGGAACATCTTGGAGATGCCCAGGAGTGCTCTCAAGCTCAGTGATTCTGGTAGATTTCTCCCCTTCCCCACTCCCATTCTCACAGATAGTGCTTTATGGGGACCTTTCCTTCTGCCTATCCTTTGTAATTCGACAGGATCATACCCTTTATGTTCTGATCAAATCTGAACTCTGTTTTGGAGGACATGTTGGTAGTAGGATGGGGTCATAAAATTGTCAACATAAGAAGAGCAACCCAGAATTTAAAGAAGAAAAAATTCAAGTGAAAAGATCAGGTCTACGGTAATAGAGCAGAGCATCAAAGAATCTTTAAGAAAGGTTTAAAAAAAACAGATTCATTGCCCCTGTCTTGGTGAGTCTGAGTCTGGAATTGTGCATAATGGCATCTTCTGGGTCACGTCTTCATGACAGTGTCTCTCACACCGCTAGTCCCCAGTATGTTACGCCTGGGACTGGTTCCTGGGGGTCAGTGTCTCTGGTTCCTTTAAAGAGCAGTACTGGAGGGTGCCTGGGTGGCTCAGTCGTTAAGCATCTGCCTTCGGCTCAGGTCATGATCCCAGGGTCCTGGGATCGAGTCCCACATCGGGCTCCCTGCTCAGCGGGAAGCCTGCTTCTCCCTCTCCCACTCCCCCTGCTTGTGTTCCTGCTCTCGCTCTCTCTGTCAAATAAATAAATAGAATCTTTAAAAAAAAAGAGCAGTACTGGAAACAGCAATAGGGAGAGTTGCTTTGTGGTTCTGCGCAGTCATCTAGATGAGTTGGGGGCTGGGTGAGAGGTGGTGAGAAATCCCCAAGTCTGCACTATTAAACTGATCACTCTTCACTGGTAGAAGAAAAGCCAGTCTGGAGTTCCAGAATGCTGTATTAACTCTGCTACTTGCTTAGAGTTGAATAAAAATAAAAACGTTCTGTGGAACCAAAAAAAAAAAAGAAAATGAAAGGCTTAAGTAAAAAATCTAACAAAATGTGGATAGGCTCTGTGTGCTGAAAATTACGAACCGTTGATAAAGGAGATTAAAGACAACGTAAAGAAGTGGAAAGACATGCTTTGTTTATGGACTGCAAGATGCAACATAGACAAGACTGCAGTTCTCCCAAAACTGACATACAGGCATGACGCAATTCCCAGCAAAATCCCAGCATGAATGTTTATAGATACTGATAAGCTTATTATAAAATGTATATGGAAAAGTAAAGGGCCTGTCTAGACAACTTGGGGGAAGAAAAATTCGATGGGAAGAATCGCTTTACCCAATGCTGAGGCTCACTACGTGACCACAGTAACAGCGCCAGTGAGCTCTGGCAGAACAGATCGACAGGCCAGAGCGAAGAACCCAGAACACACCAGGCGAATATGCCCAACTGATCACTCACAGAGGCAAAGAGCAGGTCCACAGAGTAAACATCATCTCTCCCACAAAGCGCAAGAGCAACTGGACCCTCCCCCAAAAAAAACCTCAACTGAAATTCATACCTTATACAAAACTTAACTCAAAATGGATCAAGAATTTAAATATAACATATAAAAATATATAAAAAAAGAAAATCTTGGGGACCCAGGGTCATGAGGAAAGTTCTTACAGCACTAAACGCACAATCATGGAAGAAAAAAATCAACAAACTGGACCTCAGCAGACTGAACACTTGTGCTCTGCGAAAGACCGCATGAAGAAGATGAAGCGACATGCCCCAGCCTGGCAGAAACTCTTTGCAAACCACGTGTCCAGTAAAGGACTTCTATCTAGCATACATCAAGAACTCTCTCAACTCAACGGGAAAAAAAAAAAATCCCATTAGAAAGTGGGCAAAAACAAGAGCAGATCTTTCACAGGAGAGGATACACAGACAACAAATGAGCATGTTAACAGATCTCAACACGACTGGCCAGGAGAGAAATGCAAAGTCAGGCCACCTCACATCTGCTAGAACGGCTGAAATAAAACCAGTGATAACACCAGATGCCAGGTAGGATTTAGAAGAAATGAATCACTCATAGATTGCTGGAGGGAATGTAAAATGGGGCAGCCACTCCGCAAAACTTGGCAGTTTCTTACAAAACCAAACATGCAGGGGCACCTGGGTGGCTTGGTCAGTCGGGCCGCTAACTCTTAGTTTTGACTCAGTTCATGATCTCAGGGTCGTGGGATCTAGCCCCATCGGGCTCCTCACTCAGCAGGGAGTCTGCTGGAGATTCTCTCTCTCTCCCTCTGCCCCTCCCCCCACTCATTACCCCTCCCCTCTCTTTCTAAAATAAATCAACCTTTAAAAAAACAAAAAACTGAACATGCATTAGCATACAACCCAGTGACTGCACTCTTGGGCATTTACCCAAAGAAATGAAAACATACAATCACACAAAAATCTATACATGGATGTTCATTGTACCTCTATTCATAATAGTGAAAAACTGGAAACAGCCCAAACATCCTTCTATGGGAGATAAGTTAAATAACTGTGATACTTCCATACTATAGAATACTATACAGCAATAAAAAGGAACAGACTACTGATTCAAGCAAGAATTTGAATGAATTTGAGTGAAAAAAGTCATTTTCATGACATCCCATTTTCATGACATTCTTGAAATAAAATTATAGAGATTAATGTGTGGCAACTATGTGTTGGGGTTGCCAGGAGGTAAGCGTAGGGAACAGGGCAGGTGTGGCTGTAGCACAGGAGTATGAAAGGATCTCTATGCTGATGAGAGAGTTCAGTATGTTGAATGTAGTGGTGGTTACATGAATCTATACGTGTGATAAAACTGCACAGAACTGGGGTGCCCGGGGGCATCAGGCGGTTCACTGTCCAACTCTTGAAGCTCAGGTCCTGATCTCTGGGTCATGGGACTGGCCCCGCATTGGGCTCCACGCTCAGCAGGGAATCTGCTCATCCCTCTCCCTCTGCTCCTCCCCCAGCGTGCTCTATCAAATAAATAAAATCTTTTTTAAAAAACTGCACAGAACTAGTCACACACACACACACACACACACACACACGAGTGCGTGCAACACCGGGGACAAACAAACACACCCCGTGGGTCATCCAGGTGCTGGTCTCCCAGCTCTCGCCGTGCGCTGCAGTGAGGCCAGACACTACCACAGAGCAAACCAGATACAGGGCACCGGGGACTTCCCTGGATTTTTCTGTACCTTCCTGTGCATCCGTAATTCTTTCTGAAAACTTTTAACCGAAAGCAAAATGGACGGTGGTGAAAGTGGTATAACTGCATATAGTTCCTAAAAATGACCAAACTTCACTTTTACAACAGATTACTCTGTCAGGTAAGATATATCTCAATAGAGCTGCTTTTAAAAAAGAAACAATAGTTGAGTCCTGACATGTTTACGTATTTAAAGTGAATACTCGTACCTGACGGAGTATCAAGCACCAGACTTTCAGGATTCCTTCAAAACCCTCTGTAGTTCATCTCAGATTTTAACTGAAATATACTACCAGTTCATTTTTCTTTAAAAAGTTTCCTGAAATAATATATATACAGTGGTTGCAACAACTTCCCTTTTATTATCACAAAAGTAGCAACTCTTTCCTAACACATCAAATACACAGAGAAGCAAACATGGGCAGTCCCCTGCAAGTGAGTTAGCTGACTGTGAATGGTGGGGAGTTAACTCTGAAAACACATGGAGAAGACAAAGGCCAAGGTCAGCAGCTGAAGCGCCTGTCAGAGGGCACAGCTGAACTTGCACAGGAAACAACATATACTAGCTGCTGTTACTAGTACTGTTCTTGTTTTACTATTTAAAAATAAAAACACACACACTCTGAATTTCATCACAAGTGGCAGGATAGTTTAGTTTTACACAAGAAAAGAGGAAATAATGTATTCCATACAAAAAGCAAGAATCTGTAATTTGAAAGAAATACTATTAGTCTCAGCAAATAATAAAACATATTGGTTATTTCTAAAATATCAATAAATGATCCCCTAGGTTAATTACAAATATTTGTAGTTAATACGTCTCTGATTATAAATTTTTATGGCACTTTTTTCAAGATTCTTATCCTACTGTGACTTCTAATGTTCTGAAGTGTTTGGTTTTTTTTTAAGATTTTATTTATTTGATAGAGAGTGAGAGAGAGCATGAGCAGGGTGAGGGGAAGAGGGAGAAACAGGCTCTCTGCTGAGCAGGGAGCCTGATGCAGGGCTCCATCCCAGGACTCATGACATGAGCTGAAGGCAGACGCTTAACTGACTGAGCCACCCAGGCGCCCCTGAAGTGGTCTATTAAACATAAAAATTAGGGGTGCCTGGGTAGCTCAGTTGGTTGAGTGTCTGACTCTTAATTTCAGCTCAGGTCATGATCCTGAGGACCCTGAGATAGAGCCCCGCCCGCATCTGGCTCCACGCTCAGTGGGGAGTCTACTTCTCTCTTTCTCTCTCTCCCTCTGTACCCCCACCCCTGAGCTCAAGTGCCCACACACGCGCTCTCTCTCTCAAATAAATCTTTGAAAAAAAAGTAATAAAAGTAAAATTAACAGGAAGTGACAATCACAAGGCACCCAGTAAATATTTTCCACATTAAATGGTTATAAAATCCCAATGTTCGACTATTCTCCAACCCATTCAGAATTGTGTACATTTTATAAGATTCATTTATTTATTTTAGAGAGTGCGTACACATATGCAAGAGCACAGGGAGGGGGAGGGGGAGGGGCAGAAGAGAGAGAGAGAGAATCTCAAGCAGACTCCCCACTGAGTGCTGAGCCCAATGCGGGGCTCGATCCCACGACCCTGAGATCATGACCAAAATCAAGAATCCGACACTTAACTGACTGAGCCACCTAGGCGCCCCCAGAATTCCATACATTTTAAAATACACTGTCTTGAGGCTTACGGGCTAGAACGGCCACCAGCCACACCACTCTGCAGGCTCGGGCTGTGAGCATCGTACCTTCTTCTCTCTCATGCGGTCAGCCTGCACGGTCTCCAGGCGGGCTTTGAAGTGCTCACAATCCATTCTCAGTTGCTCTAATTCTTGCTCTTTCCTTTCCAGTTCTAGAAGGAGAGAGACAATAACTCAATGTTTCAAGTCACGAATGTCCTCTAAGAATCCAATGAGCCTAACATCTTAGGAAAACGGGCCACTGGCTGCTCAGGTGGGATTAGTCACAGAACCAGTCCTTCAGTGGCCAACATTTGAAAGTTCTGCTTTTCAGGTTTCTATCAGTTTTTAGCCCATACCAGAAAGTACTTTTGTTGTTGTTGTTTTCAGTCTTATGTTGTTAAGACCTCATTTTACTGCCAGACTTGTACTCAAGGTTTTAAGGAAGTGGGTTATGTAAGAGATTGAAAGCAGGGCTGAGAAGCCTGACTGTCTCGTGGCACAGACTTGTATCTGCTCCATCAAAAGCGGGAGGCAGCTCAGCGAGGAGACGGCGCCAGCCAGGGCTGATTCACAGCGCTCGTCTCACCAACTGGCAGACTGACTCAGGAGGAAGAATTGCAGTGGCAGTCAGTGGAGGGCTGGCAGCAATGGTGAGCAGACAGGAAAAGGCCCAGTGAAAGCGGGGAACTATGGCTTTCTTCCTCTCCACCAGATTCATTTAGATGGTGATTCAAATCGCCAACAAAAATCCCCAAGACATCCACCTTAATGTCTGAAATCAAAAGTTTTATCAACTTTAAATGAAAGATGTTATGATGCAAAAATACTGACATTTAAAAAGCAAAGAAATATAGAACTTAAAATTTTAAGCGTCTTGACTTCAGGCACTAAGAAATCATCAATTTTTATGCTACGTATATACTGAGATTCGAGGTGGAATACAGTACTCAGAGTTAATGGCGTACCTTCTCTGATGAAAGTAGCAATGCTTGTGGACAGTGATTCCCAAATGTTAGTGTCCACCAGAATTCCCTACAGGGCTTGTTCAAACACAGGCTGCTGCCCCCTCCCCCCCCCAACCATCGTCAGTCAGTGTTTCTGATTCAGCAGGCCTGAGGTGGGCCAGAGAATCTGCACTTCCAGCAAGTTCCCAGGTGAGGCAGATGCTGCCGGTCTGGGAAGAGACTTTGAGAAAGCGCTTCAGGACAACAGCCTGGTCTCTGGTCACTAACAAAATGAAATCAACACAAAACCAGCGAACACCAATGAGGGAGCCCAGCCTCAGGAACGTGGGGGCGGAAAAACCAGAAGGCAGTGGGAGGCAGCAGCCTGAAAACTGGCACCTCCCCCCACCTGAGAGGGGAGATGGCTGACAGCGCTCCGTCCAGTGAGGTGCAGACAAGAGGAGGCGGGTGGCTTCATGGCCAGACTCTGAGAAGGCGGGGGGGGGGGGCTTGCCAAGAACAGCAGGGGCAAACCCAGAGCTCTGGAGAAATGAAGGGAGTCTGCATTTCCCAGGGAACCTTTGCCCTAGAGGGAAGATGAGCACCTAATGCTAAATATTCAGTTACAGATTATGAAACCAGCTGGCAGAACTTCTCTTAAAATGCATTTCTCAGAAACCACGTGAAGTAAAGTGGGACTATCTCTTCTGCCTCAAATCTTCCCTTCTACAATCACACCATGCGACTCTCCCCGGAATTCTACTCTGCCCTCCAAATGCTGGCTGCCCAAGAAATCAACTATCAGTCAAGGGCTATGCTTTAAAAGCTACACAGCTGCCCTGCGTCACAATGTTAAATGAAAACTTATGTAGTTATAATTATGAATGAACTATGACGTGCATATGGTCACAAAAAAACAAAATGAAAAAAGGAACTACAATAAAATTACTAGTGCTGCAAACTTTTTCTTTGCGGTTCACTTTTCAATTTTCGTGTATCATTAAAGCTGTATGTCACTCAAACGTGGCAAAGAAGATATAAAATTCGATCTCTACAAGCCTTACTGTGTATAAAAATACGTGAGAATTAATACTGGCCACCCAAAAGATTTTCATTAGGGCAACTTCATAATTGCTCTGGGTAGCCGTACATGACCTTCCATAGGCTACTATAATGAGGGGACAGCGTCAGACGTCCCACTCTCCCCCAGGCACCCCAGAGAATTCAAAGTCAGCATCCTGGATGCCACACCTGCCCACCCCCAACACCCGGAGGCGGCAGGTGCCTTTCTGCTGCACAAGGCCGCCGCCTTGTGGCCAGCTGGGAGCACTGCCGCCACCTTCCAAGAAGACCAGCAAACCCTTGCTTTCTCAGCCTGGCCCCCAGCAGTGCCTGCCACCCTGAACAAACCCCACAAGGCAGGCATTTTCAGGGTTCGTTTTCTGATACACCCCAAATCCCTACAATGGTACATGGAATTTAACAAATATTTGCCACACAAATGAATTTCACTTCTCTACCCATTCCTTCTGCTAATCCTTGAGTAGAAAAAAATACACAGCCGCTTTGGTTATATGTCTCCTAATGAGAATATACCGCTTCTGTGATTTTTTTTAAAAAAACCAGGGACAGAAAGAATATGGACAGTGAATGATACATTATGCATAGTCAAGACATTATCTTACCCAGCCTCCATACCAGAAAAGGAAAGGAGCTGCCACTCAGCCTAAACTGTCTTCTAACTGCTCATCTTTAGCATTCACAATGAAGGAGAAATCTCCATTTAACTGTTAACTGAATGAAAGGGTGGCCAAGACAGACTCCCAATATATAGAAACAATCTGCATCACAGGCCACTTCCATATTGATATGGCTTCTGAAATTCACAATCCTTTTTTGAAAGTTTTAATAACACGAGAATGGCTGTATCTCTTAATGCTTAACCTATTCACTGGAAGGGTATAGAGAACTATTACCAACAGGAGACAGAGCTACAAAGGAAAAGCAGCATTTCAAACACACTGAGCAAAGAAATGTAAACCATACGAAAGGGATCAATTTCTCCTACCCTTTCTTTACCACCTGGCATGCTTATAACAAGCATAATAAACTATCAGTTGTTTTGTGTTAATATGAAAGGATTGTTTTTGACCAAAACAGCTTAAAGTCTCAAATCCAAAATAAAGGGTTTTTAATAGCTCTTAACTTCTCCCTTCATATCACTCTCTAATAGGTTCAGAAAAGAATTTACAATTCGCTGCTAAGAGACCCCATCTTTACTGTGAATTGAGATTTGGAAGGTTTGTAACAAAGCACTATAAAGTGGACAGCTTATGACAACAGAAACATCTCCCCGAGTTCTGGAGGCTACAGGCCTGAGACCAGAGTGTCAGCAGGCTCGGGCTCTCTCTCTCTGAAACCTGTGGGCAAGGATCCTTCTCTGGCTCCTCCACCTTTCAGCAGCCTCGATCTTCCAGAATTGCCAACTGTCTCCCTGTCACTGGGCCTTCTCCCAGTCTCTTCACATCAGCTTCCCTATGCACGTCTGTCTCTGTTTCCAAATGTACCCTTTTATAAGGACACCAGCCATTCTGGATCAGGGCCTACCCTAAAGACCTCATTTTTACTTAATCAGCCTGTCAACAATTTAAGTTCAAAAAGTGAAAAAATGAAAAAAAATGAAAAAATGAGACTATTTCAGGATTCATTAAAAAGGGGTGGGGGCTTCAGTTAAAGAGCTTAAGTGCATTTCAAATCCTTCTACCCACTATAAGCCAGCCAAACAACACTTTGTCAATTTTTTTAAAACAAATCAAAGGGGGTGGGTGAGGGGAAAGAGTTGGAACCAGAACATGGAAATAGCATTTTTTTTCCTGCACTGCTAAAAATCTGCTCCCCAAACCACTCTTCATCTTCTAACTTAAAGGCCATTTGAGTTATCTTTTATAAGATGAAGAAAATGTGTGACTAACAGGAATTTGTTCTATACTGGCATTGCCAATGGACTTGGCAGCACCTTGTATCACTAACTTCAACATCTGAGGGTTGGAGCTCCTTAGTCTACCTGTAAATTACCAAGGAAAAGCGTCAGATTTTGTCCTTTGCATACCCCTACATTACCTAGCTGTGCTTGACAGATGCCAGGCAGAGAGTGAACACCTCCCTGATGGACTTATCAACTACATTCACTGAACACTTGAAAATAAATACCATCACAAAATACTAAGATCAGTCTTGAAGTCAATCAAATGAGTTTTGCTAACGTACTTTTCAAACCAGAGAGTCAGGAAATGTTTTCATTTATTGGCATACAAATACAAAGTTAACGACTGGGTGTCAGGAGTGATATACTCAAATAACGTATGTCTCTACTTTCTCCATCTTGGCTACCTTCCCACCTCCTCTGTCCATAAGCCCCTGTAAGTCTCTCTTCTTCTCTCCCAGTCCACTGTACACCGGACCATCTCCACGTGCCCTTTAGATCCATTCCCCACCCTGCTCTGTGCTCCCAAGAGGCTAAAGTCATCATCCCCAGCACCCGGGCTTCCTGGCTTTTTGCTTCCTGTTAGATCTGGACAGTGACAGGCTCCACAGGGACCAGGGACGAGAGGAGACCTGGGACGTTTCCTTCTCCACTGTGTCATCCCTGCCAATCTTCCTTCCCAATACGACAACCAGTCTAGGATCAGGTATGGCCTTTGGTTTTATCTTTAGCCTCCTTTAATTTGGAACATCTCCACCGCCTATCTTTACTGTATGACATTACAATGTGTTTTTAACAATTTAAAAATCACAACCACCTATATGGAAGGACTTCCATTTCCAGCTATGATGGATCAATCATCAGATCAATCTTCCCACTGAGAATAATTAGAAAAGCAGAATTTAAAAAGACTAACTCCTCTGAAGGTGAGAGTTACTGACTCACAGGGGCCCTCAGGCCAGGACCTAGAGAGGGCGAACATGCACCGAGGTGCAGGAGCCCAGCCTCCCACCCCACTCCTCCCAGGGACCTTGACATATTCCAAAGCAGCACAGGCAGAGGCAGCAAAGCTGGGCAGAGCGGTCAGCGGTGGCATGGAGCTGCAAAATGAAAATTCAGGACAGAGCTGTCGGACAGCCAAGACTTAGGGTGGCCATGATCCTGGAGGAGATCGAAGCACAGAAAAATGGGCTGACGGCACAGCCGTCTCCCTCTCCCAGGCACTCAGCAATGCATAAGTGGG